AGTCAACAGCTTACCTATAAACAAATCTAGTGTTCTCCCTTCAACCATTGTAATTTCTCTACAAAAATTATTATTATTATTAGATCCACACTGTGCATCAGTTCCGCTGGAACTCCATCTCCTGACTGATCGTGCTGGGGGCTCTGCCAGTCTCCAGCATTCAGAACCCTCAGCTACCATCACCTGGGAACCCCGACCAGTTCAGGTCTCATGGAGTGGGTGACGACCCCCCCTCCTTTCTCTCTCTCTCTCTCTCTCTCTCTGTTTTCCTTTCTACCTTAGGTATTAACCTTTAATCATGTATTTTATGTTGGTTTAGTCCTTCTTGTGTAGTTAGAATTTATTTATTGAATAAATAACTTCTATGGTTAAGTTGGTTGCTTCTCTCTCTCTTGCTGAACTTTACTCGTTTGTGTTTTTAGCTTCCCCCATTCACTCTACAGCAACGCTTCTTTTACCTAAGCTAAAGATCCCTGCAGTGCCCAAAATACTGCGGGGTTTGCTCATCGAGTAGGTTACTGCCAGTACAATTGTGTTGGGGGAGTGGGGATAGGGCCGTGCTGAATCTGGGACGCAGAAGGGTAACAGCTTGAAAGTGCTGCTTGACCTACTCCATGGAGCCCAGGAGAGTATAAGGAGAGACAGCTTAAAGTGCTGCTTCCTCCAGCCCAGTGAGTCCAGAGACATATAAGGGGTCAGCTTGACAGTGCTGAGTGACCCGGTCCGCTCAGACTTGCTCTGTTAATGTACGTGTGGGTGGGTGGGTGTTCATCCGGTTCTGGGGTGGGAGTAACCTTGCCCTAGGGACCCTAGGTCCTGCAGGATAGCTTCATTGGGAGGGGACTTTCAGAAGGGAGAAGTAGAGCTCCATATGTAAACACAAGTGACACAAGCAGTACATTGACAGGATTACAGAACCCCCTTCCCCAGAGGAGTAACCCGAATAAATGAGCATACCCCAAAGTAATGGGCAAATCTGGTAACATCGGGTGGGAGGCCCGTCCAGCGCTGGCAGCATTAAGGCACGAGGGCGTGCTTCAGTTGCTGCCCTAGGGGTTTAGTACTTGTCCGCCAGGGTCTGAGCCCCAGCTTTCCCCAGAGCTTAGGGGTTGCAAACTCTGGATCCAGGTCTGAACTTGCTCAAATAGTTCCTCCAGAGCCAGCCGCATCTTCCCTTGTAAAAATCCCCCAGCTGCCACTTCGCCAAGGTGCAGGTTGACATCTCCCAGAGCCTCTAGTCGGTCTAGTGCTTTTGGAATTTGTCCCCATCAGCCTTTCAAGCCACCGCAAACTCCCAGCCCCCTCCCCTTGGCTATCTCTGCAGCCTGCCACTAATTAACCTTTGCCATCTCGGGCCTGGTTGCTGGAGCTTTGATCTGCAAGTTCGCTTCAGGCAGGAGGGTCTTTGTGTTTGTGCGGCGAGGCCCCCAATTGCTCACTCCCCCTTGCGTGTCTCTTTCATGCTGTGACAGAGCGGGGAAGGCGCTTCAGTCTTCGGTTTCTATTTCTGTGCTGGCTACGGCTGAGATCAGGGCCCCTGATGTACTGGGTGCTGCACAGCCAGAATGAGTCGCTCCCTATCCCAGTGAGCACCCAGGAATAGCTGAGAGGAGGGAGGGGAAACTGAGGCACAGAAGTCACTCACCCAAGGTCATACAGTGACAAGGCTGGGGATAGACCCCCGTCCTGTTCTCTAGCTACTAGGTCACACTGCCTTCCCCTGGGTTGCAATGGAGGTGAAAGCGCCAGAGCTCGCTTGTCCCGGGAGTGCAGTTCCCAGTATCTCCCCCACCTCCCCAATTCCTAATGGGAATCCCCCCTCCCCCGCTGGGAACAATGGAGAACCCACCCCCTGCAGTGAGAACAATGAGGAGCAGTGGGGGCTCTCTGAGAGCTGCCAGTGAAGTGCAACCAGCCAGCCTGTGAGATCCTCCAGCTCCCCCTCACCCCACCCGGCCATGCACCCCTCTCCGGGCCCCAGCCACTCTGCTAAACCTGCACAAAGCAGAAGGCGAGTGGGGGGGGGTTCTCTGCACCCCTGCGCAGAGCTGGGGGCAGCTTGTGCCTACTCCAGTCTTGTCCCCCCAGTGTGGGCCGAGGCATGTGGCTTTGGAATTGTCTTGCCTGCTGTGGATTTCGGGGAGGGGGGGGGCGGGCGAGGGAGGCTGTTCTAAGTAAAGCTGAAATCTGGGATGGGGAAATGACCAAGGACCTGCCCTCCCCCACTCCCCCCTGCCCAGGGCTGGGACCCTAAAATGCTCCCGACACCCCCAGAGACTTCCCTGTCCCATGGACCGCTCCCTAGCACCCCTCTGCCCCAACCTCCAGTAACTAACCGGCCCCTCCCCCATTCTCCCTAGCAGCCCTTGGGGTAAGCAGGAGGTCCCCAGGGTGCTACGAAACCAAAGCTATTGGGGGCCTGACCCCTCCCCTTGGAAGGAGCTGGGGGGGGGGCTGCTCTAAATAGGACTCTCAGGGGAGTGTCCTTTGACCCTAGCCAGGCCCCCAGACTTGGAAGCTGCCAGCTGCATCCCAGAAGGATCGGGGAATGTGAGGAGAGAGCAGCGTCTGCCCCACTGGGGTGGGGGATAAGTGTGTGGGGGTGTCGGGGCATGGGATGGGGGAGGGGGAGCTTGGGGAGTGTTGGGGGATGGGGAGTGGGGACTGGATGTGTGGGGGTGGCAGTGAATGTGAAAAATCGGGACGGGGTGGGGGGTAATAGGAACCTATATAAGAAAAAGACCCCAAAATCAGGACTGTCCTGATAAAATCGGGACATCTGGTCACCCTATGGGGAGCTGGGGGAACGGGAGGGGGGCGGGCTCTCTGTGAGGTTAGGGGCAGGGAGGGAGGTTGGGGGCCGGGCTCTGGTGGGGGGCTGGAGGA